GGTCTCGGCGCCGCAGCTCCAGGAGCTGACCACCTCAGGACCACATAGTCCCCAGCCACCCCCTCCCCAGCTGTCAGGCCCACGTGACAGGCCCAGCCCTCATTGGCCCGCCCTCCCCCCACAGGAAAAGGCCTCCGGAGGTGGTGACGCAGACCCACCCCCCCAACCTCCAACCTCCCGGGCCTCAGCCTGCCCTTTTTTCAGGCCCCGCCCCCAGCCCCGCCCCCAGCCCAGGCTCCGCCTCCCCAGTTTCCACTTTTAGGAGCTCTGCATGTGCATTGGACTGAGCGCCCCCTGTTGGCATGTCGGGCACAAGGAAGCACAGGCTGACTGTACAGACGCCGACCCTTATTCAGACACACCCAGATGCAGGCAGGAGGACACTGCCTGGGGCAGGAGCAGCACGGGGACACCGACCCATGGGCACGATGACATGGGAATAGACTCGCTCTCAGGCAGTGACATGCAGGGACACTGATGCACACGCATGCTCAGACGACAAAGCTCTGCAGATGAAATGGATGACCTGGAGCTTTGCAGTCAGACCTGGGACACAGACACCCTCCCTCCAGTCCCCCGGTCCTCTCATGGGGGTCCCCACCCTATGTCCCTGGCAACCCCTCACCCTCGTAGACCCCAGGGCCTGGGCTCCACAGGGCATAGCAGGTCACTCCCTCAGCCTGGCGTCTGCACTGGCCTCGGCTCATCTCCCTACCCCCATGCCCCACCCTACCTTCCAGGGACACACAGGCTGATCACGGACATGCTGGGTAGCAGGGCTGACAACACTCCTGAGGCCACCCCGCACCTCCTCACATCCTGGTATCAGCCATGTGTCCAGAACCCCGCCTCCCTCCCTCTGCCCTCCCTGGACCTCCTTCCCCTCCCCCATGACCACCCGTTCTTTTGGAGCCTCCCCAGCCTGGGTCCTCTCCCCCACACTTCCAGAGACCCACCCCCCAGTCCCCAACTCCCTTACCCAACACCAACCCTCACTGACCTCAGGTGGGAAGGGTGGATCTCCCGGGCACAGGGCATGTGGGCTGCAGCTCCTTATGCCAAACCCAGCCTCCAGGCCCAGGCCCATCTGCACACCTAGCCGAGAAGTCCCTTCTGCCCACCACTCATTGCTCCGGGGGCCAAGACCAGGTGGTAAGGGCAGACTGGCTAGCTGGCGAGCTTCTGGCCTGGGCAGCAAGCCTGAGGTCCCGATATCCCAGCCCCCCCCCCCACTGGACTTCTCTAAGCTGCTCTGGACATTCCCACGCCCTGACCTCATGCCCACTTCATGGCCAGGCACTCACTGGGACTGTCCTCAGGCACCAGACCCATGTGGGCACTAGGGACCCTGGGACTAGTGTCCAGGTTCTATGAAGCCCACATAAAACCCACTTCCCAGGCCCACCAGACGCCTTCCCAGCTGGGGGTCCAGGCGGCTGGAGCTGGGTTCTCGCCTGTGCCCTGTGAGTTGCATGTGTCCACAAGCCCATGCATGCACACACTCCAGCTGGATCCAGATGAGTGCACAGAGCCATCTGTGGACACACGTGCAGCCCAGCACACAGACACACATGCACAGTTTCACAGGACAGCTTCTTTTTATTTCCTCCGGCAGAACAGGCCCTCTGGGAGCCAGCTCCAGGCCCTCTGTCCTGCCTTTGTCACTCCCAGGGCCTCCCTCCAGCCCCACAGAGGAGGGAGGCTCAGAGCACTGTCTCTGTCATGCGGCGGTCATCCAGGAACTGGGTGAGGAGTTTGGGGACCTGTGGGCCTAACCCAGGGTCCACCCCCACTCCTGCTTCCTGGTGATCCGCCTCGGTCTCCTCCTTCCCCTGGTTCTCGGAGAAGTACAGGAACACCTAGCAGGTGGGTAGCCCGAGGGAACAAGAGGGGAAGTCAGCTGGAGAGCCCGGCCCCCAGCCCCACCATGGCCTCCAGCCCCTCCCGGGCGCTTTGGGCACCTCCTCCAAGGTGGTCTGGTTCACTGAGAAGTCCTCCACGCCTTGCTCTGCCCCGTGTGCAGCCAGCTCTTCAAAGACATGCGCTAGGGTGCAGCGCCCTCCTGGTGGCAGCTGGAAGCGCAGGCGACTTCCGTGAGCCTCCCGCAGCTCAGCCCCTGGGAACGTAGCTGCCACGAAGGCCATCACTGGCTCAGACTTCCCCATGGGCACTCGCAGGGTCAGCGTGTGGCCAGCACCGAATCTGGTGGTGAAGGGGGTGGTGGTGAAAGTGAAGTGGGGGTGGTAATGGTGAAGGGGTGGTGGTTAAGGGGGTTGGTGGTGAAGAGGGGTGTGGGAGGTCATGGGGGATTGTGAAGGTGGGAGTTGTGGGGGTTGGGGGAGGGTGACCACACACCTACAGCCCAACCCACCCATCCCACCCTCCTCCTCTCTTCTGGCCCCACCCTCAATGCCAGGCCCCTCTTGACCCCCCACCCAGCACACGTGACCCCACCCCTGCTCCTCCATGTCCTTTAACCAGTTAACTGCCACGCATCCCCACTGCCTCTATAGACGCTTGTGGCGTACAAAGGGTTAAAATGCTCATCCCTTCTCCAAGCCTTCCTCTCCCACGGCCCCACCTCCACCTGACTCCCCTACTCACCTGACCCTCCTCAACCTCCACCCATGGGCCTACCCTTACCCATAAGACTCCAGCCCACCCTGGTCCTGACATGCCCCCTCAACATCTCCCCTGGACAGTCCATGACCCTCACCTCCTCACCTGTTAGAGCCACGCCAGCCCTAACCTTAGTCTCTCTTCTGGCCCCACCCTTCTCTAGCCTCTTCCCGCCCCAACACCAGCCCTTGAGGGCTGGCCCAGCTCACCTGCCCTTGAGGTGCTGCGGGCTCCCCAGGCAGTGGAACCGCCCGTTCACCATGATGGCCAGGCGCGTGCAGAGTGCCTCACACTCCTCCATGCTGTCAGGGCCAAGTGCTGTGAGCTCCGGCCAGGCCCAGACCACCCACCCTCCCGGCCGGGACCAGGCTTCCACTCTGAACACGTGCAGCTGGGCCCAGACCTCTCAGTTCCCGGGTTTGCCCCGCGTCCTCACACCCGGGCCTTGCAGCCGCCCCAGGCTCAGGACCACCCATCCCGTGTAGCCCTAAGCCCTGAGTGACAGCCTCTCACTGGGGTCTGCCTCGCTCCCCAGAGCCTGGATGGGGGATGAGGGCTGTGAAGGTGGGGAGTTGTGGGGGTTGGGGGAGGGTGACTAGACACCCTGACCCACAGCCCCGACTCACGCAGGGCCCACCTGTGCGAGGTGAGCACCACCGAGCGGCCCTTCCGCACCACAGCCAGGAGGCTGTTCCAGAGGAAGCGCCTGGCACTGGGGTCCATGCCGGTGGTTGGCTCATCCTGGGAGGAGGCCGGGGTAAGACTCAGTAAGACTGGCCCTGCCCCGCCCCGCCCCGCCCCGCCCTCACCCAGGCCTCAGTGCACACCCACCAGGAAGACCATCGTGGGATCTCCCACCAGGGCCACCGCTGTTGCCAGTTTCCGCTTGTAGCCGCCGCTGTAGGTACCCGCGGGCTGGTCGGCATAATGCTGGAGCCCCAGGTTCCCCAGGCTCAAGCTTACTGTCTGTGGGCAGGCGGGGGAGGGGAAGTGTGAATGTGGGGGGACCAATTAAAATTGAGGGGGCCAGAGTAAGCAGGGAAGACCACTTAGCACGGAGAGCCAGAGTTATGGGGGGGGGGGGGCGGGTATTTGG